CAGTCAGTGATTGAGTGAGAGAGGGAGAGTGACAGTGACAGTGAGAGAGAGATGACGAATCGAACTCGGGGCCGCCGGCAGAGAGAGAGAGAGAGAGTTACACAAGCCTGTTTTCTAATGCCACGAGATCACGAGAATAACCCGGACGGAGATCGCCTTCCATCGGGTCCGAATGTTTAACCTCGGGCGTGCTTTGGGCCTAGGGTGTCGGGCTCGGAGCTCCATTGCCTCCGTGATTAACAAGGGTAGAGATGATTCCGCGTGATTGCTGAGCTCGCCGAAGTTATTCCGCTGCGTTTTTTTTTGCGGTTACTTTGGTTTCCGCGAATGTTTTGAAAGGAATCTGGAGATCGCGGGTTTGGTCGATAGATAGACAGCTGTTGGGGGGGGGGGAGAGGGTGCAATCGAGCATGAAAATAAATCGGGGATTAAGGAAGCAAGGAAACGAGCGGTGGCAAGAAAGAAGGAAGAATGGGAAGGAAGGAGAGAAAAGAAATGCTTCCTGTCCAGCCGCGTCCAAACAGGTGCACGAGAGGGGGTAATTAGTCAGGGTATAGAGGGCGTGGGCGGGAGAGGGCAGGGGGGAGGGGGAGGTTAACGGGAGTTCAGAAGGGGGGGAGGGGGGGGGGGGGAAGTGGGCGTGGCGTGACAGAGGCGATGGGTGAGCCGTGCATGTCCACTTGATTGTGCTTGTGCGGCGAAGGCTTTGGTTTGCCAGCGAATAAATCTTCTTCCTGACCCCCCCCCCCCCCCCGACCCCACTTCCTGGAAATTAATTCTGCGGTTTAGTGGATTAGTTTTGGATTTTTTTTTTTCTTTTTGAGGACGGATGGGGAGAGAGGGGGGGGGGGATGGATGGGGATTTTTTTCGTCCCCGCGCATCATCGTGCGGGTGCGCTGTTGTTGCGCGGCGGCTGTTGCATTTTGCAGCGCGTTGCTTTACGAGTGTGGCGTAACAACAGCGGCTGAGGATGCTGTAGATCACGGAGATAACGCACGTCGCAGCGCCCGGCTCGGGGGGCATGAAGCCGTAACCACCAGGAACGCCCGCCTCGCCAGCCCCTTCCGCGACTCTCCACCCACTCTGCTACGCCCATTCAAGGCGGCCCTGCTAAGCGCTCCCCCTCTCCTCCCAGCCACCCACAAGAACGGGCGCCAATAACGAACGCACTCGCCGTCCCCGAAAATCGCCGTCTCACAGCACTCATCTCGGCGCGACTCTCTTTCTGCACCTCCGGCCGCGCTCTCCCTCTCTCTCCCTCTCCTTCTCCTCTTCTTTCTCCTCCTCCTCTTCATTCCTCCCTCCCCCTCGCCCTACCCCTCCTCTCTCTCTCTCCGCCCCCCCCCCCCCCTCGCCCTTACCCAACCCTTCCCTCTCCTTGTTCCGGCCCGTCCCCTTCCCTCCCCTCGCCCCTCCCCAGCTCCCTCCCCCCTCGCCCCTCCCCCCTCGCCCCTCCCCCGTCGCCCTCCCCCGTCGCCCTCCCCGTCGCCCTCCCCCGTCGCTCTCCCCCCGAAGTGGACGTTGCAGCCACCGTCTTTGCAGGCTCAGCAGCTGCCTATTGATTTTACAATTACGCCAGGCACAAATCTCCGCGGAATTGTACAAGAACCTGCTGGTTGCGGTGGGCGGCGGAGGTGGCGGTCGCGCTGCTGCTGCTGCTGCTGCCGTGGCTGCCGGCGGGGAGCATCACCAACGCTCTCGTGATGGTGGTGATGATGGTGATGGTGGTGGTGATGGTGATTGGTGTTGGTTTGGGTCGGAGCTTTAGTGCTTACGTCGGTCCCTTGGTCGATGACTCTGGCGATGACGACTTCGATTGTGACGGGTTGATTTGGGTTAGAGAATGTAGGTCTTGCCGTGCCTGAGGTCGTCCAGCGGTCGTTCGATTTCAGGAGTCTGTTCTGCATGTGGGGCCGAGGCCAGGTCGACGTCACGGGGCTGTTGAATAATAATGGCGCTCTCTTGGAGTGATAATCGCAGGCGCTCGCGGTATTGTGGAAGGCGGGGATCTCGTCCACGCTGCCTCGCCCGTGTCTCTCGGCGACAGGGGAGGTGGGCGGGCGGGCTGCGGGCGGGCGGCTTCGAGGAATGGGGACTGAGGCCTCACCCTTCCCTCTTCGCTCCTCTCGCATCTTTCTTCTCTCTTATCTCTTATTTCTCATTCATGGTGAGCTCCTTTCTTTTTTTTATCCTTATTTTTCCTTATTCTCCTTCCTATTCCCCCTTCCCCCGTTCTCCCTATTCAGCCTTCCTCGTTTGAGTTTATTCCCTTA